TCGGTGGTCGGGAACTCGTCCACGGCCCGCGTGGCAGCATACCCGTCGTAGACCAGCAAAAGGCTGGAGCCGAAGAAGCGGAAGCCGTGCATTTGCTCGACGGTCCGGTAGAGACTGCGCAGCTTGACCAGGAGGGCTGGAATCAGATAGGCAAACACTATCTCGCCGTTGTCCAGGAACTCCAGCAGCGAGCGCTGGAACGTGAACTTGTTCAACGACCGCCCGTAGTACTTGTCCTGGAAGAGGAAACGGTTGCGGTCGGCCTTGTAGACCTGCAGCCCGCACATGCGCACGCCCAGCTCCTTGCTAGTGGTGGCTGCGCACTTGATGGTCTGCGAGACGACCTTTTTCGCCGGCGCATTGACGCCATGTTGCCGCGTGCCCATTTTGAGATCGAGGATGCATGGCCGCCGCATGGATGCAGTCAGATCGGACATCAGGATGAACTGGTGCGTGCTGCCCTCGATGGCCTCAGTGGGCATGCGCTTGGCGCATTTCTTCTTCCACAGATTTTCAAAGTCCGCCGTGGTGGCGGTTTGAGCTGGGCAGTCCGCGGCCTTGGCGAGGTCCGGCTCGGAGCGGTCCAGTGGCTCACTAACACAGGCCGTGAGCCGGGGCCGCACCTTCATCGCCCCTGTGCTTTCGCGCCGCACAGGCAGACCGTCGCTGCCTAGCAGGGCGCCCGGGGGTCCAGACGCAGCATCGGCTACTGCCCGGTCGTGCAGAAGACTGGAGCCGCGCATGCGGTTGGAGCCAAGCAAAGGGTGGACGATAGGCGCTAGGGCTGTCATGCGCGGTACGCCCGGCAGCAGCTTTGCTGCAGGGGCCTCGGTCCGCGCTGGTCCGGCTGACGGACGGTTTTCCGGGCTGCTGTTGGAGCTAGTGCTTGTAGACGACACATGGCCTCGTGCATCATACATGGAGTTCATACACAGCCCCTCTATATCGCTCAGCATCATGTGTTTCTGCAGGTCCAGACTATGTGCCTCGTCGGCGTCGTTGGTGCCGGTGGTGCGCTCGACGGCCGACGCCAATGGCATGAAATGCGCGGGCTGCAGATCAGTCGACGAGTGGCGGCGACGCACGGGTCCCTGGGCTCTGATCTTTGCCTGCTGCCGGGCCCGGGCCTTGAGCGCGCGCGGCGACAGCGCGTCCTTCAAAATCTGCTCCTGCATGGCCCGCCAGGCACCGCTCAGGTGCATCTTGCGGGCACCGAAGCTACCAGGTGCGGCAGTGCGGCTGCTGGGCGACGGCACCAGCTGGCGGGCCAGGCAGCTGGGCAGAATATGCAGGTTCTGCTCCAGCACAATCTCCGGGACTGGGTCGCCGCCCTCGGGCTTTTTGCGGTACGTGACATTGACGACGCCCAGGCAGCTGGGCACAAACCGGTACAGGTCGCGGTGCAAGTAATCCACGGCCTCGTAGAACGCGCGCTCGCGCTCATTCATCGGCTTGCAGATGGCGCTGCCCGAGAACTTTAGGAACGGCGTGTGTCCGCCCACCTGGTTAACAAACGGAGTTAACGCCAACGACGGCGGCGTCACCGGGCCGTGGAATGTCGCCTCTTCGTCGAGCCACGGCTGCCCAAGCTCGTCGCCTGACACGTCCATTAGTTCGTCGTCCGTCGCGTGCGTTTCATAGTAACTATCGTCGTCCTCGTCCATGCTGACCTCGTTGATGTCGTCCTGCACGTCGAGCCACACGCCTGGCGGCTCATTGAGCGACCGCCGCGGCGAGATGCTGCGTAGCCGATAGTGCGAGCGGTTCTGAATAAGCTGGTAGTTTTTCACGCCTGCTCCATCGATCTGCGGGATGCCCTGGGCTGACACTGACGCCATTAGTGGCGGATGAGCCGCCATGTGTTGCGATGCACTGTTATGAATGTGCTCTGATGTCGCTGCGGCTGTGTGCTGCATGGGTGTCAGGAGCTCATCCAGTTGATTTTCCACCCGGCTTTTCCGCCACCGCCGGCCGGACCGCGACGGAGCGCCTACGGCGGCGCCGGGCGTGCTGCTGGTTGGAGTAAGCGGTTGCTGGTCTGTTGGGGCTAGTTGTACACGGAAAGAGTGCATTGTATGCACATGCTGTACAGGGTTTGGAATTTAAAATAAAAAGGTGAGGGTTGGCGGGAAAAAGAAGATAATCCTGCGGCAAGGGAGCGGATAACCTGCAACAAGCAATGTAGCCGATAATAAAAGCGCCAGCGAAAAAATGTCGGAAAAGAGCGAGGGAAAGAACCAGTCTGGTTAAAAAAAACACGGAAGAAGGGAAAAAAGAAGAAAAAGTGTAAACTCGACAAAAAAGCGCGCTCTAGCCGATATTTATACCCCTCGCGAATCGACAAGAGGCCCAGGCATTTTTTGCTTTGGGGGGGCCTTCCAACCGCCCCTTCCTGCCACCCCCCACTGGCCCACATCGATTGGCAGCGCCCCGTATTGGCAAAAGTTCAAGGTACGGTTTCTGTGCGACAATCTTTGGGCACGATATGGCGGAGCGAGCATTCATATTGGGCCGCACAAGAAGCAAGGCATTTCCCAAGAGTCCTGCCGCATTCCCCCTTCTCAAACGCCGTTAGAGCTGCCCTCTCCCGCCTGCATGCGAGCCGCGATGGAAAAACGCACGGTGCTTGTCCGATGGAGAGCCACACGTGGGGTGAGGCGGGCATCTCCACTTGCTTTGCGTGCTGTTCGCTCTGTAGCACCAATCGTGAAGGCCATTGCTGTGCTATCTGCCCTGCCACCAGTTTAAGCCACGCATTTACAACGGCTATAGGCCACTGGCCAGTAGTCTTGGGTTTTTCCTCCTCTAACGCGTCTCGACGCCCCCATGTCTAGAATATCCTTCTACACCACACACCGCGCACACGGCCAATTGTGCTTGGTCACGCTTTCAAAGCATTTTTATTTTGCCTGCACGGCCAATTTGCTGCTATTCGCACCACATGCATGCATGTCTGGATAGGCCCAAAAATGCCTACCCTGCCTTTTTTTTCGTTTTGCCATTAGGTCATGTTTTTGTTGAGATGCACAAAATAAATAAAAAAACATAGTGCCAAGCGGTGCGTGCATGTGGGTAACGACGCCATAGCATCATTGGCATATCAGGGCCTCAGTGTGTAAATGCATATGCTGCATACAATCAGCATATCTGTCATCCAGTAGTATGCACATCGTGGGCTCAGGCAGAGGCTTTCCTAACATCCGATTTCCTGCAAATGTTTTGCCACAGTGACACTCGAAGAATGCATGCCTCCATGTATTTTTTTCGGAGAACGCCCAGAGGGGGTTTCTGGGTTGTTGCTTTTTTCCCACTGGCTCGGTGCATTTTCATCCAGCCATCGAGCATGACCTAGATGCGATAGGTGCAAGGGCAGCATATGGCATTAGTCGATTGGATTGCCCGGGAATGCCGTATCTCGAAAAACGGCTTTGCATCTTGCTTGCGGCAGGTCTTGGGCACAAAATCGATAAGATCCGATTTCGACTTAATTCGTCCCACGACTCGTCAGGAGCCGTGGCTCGCCGGCTCAGGAACACAGGCTTCAATTTTGCCACAAGGAAAAATCTGGACGCTTTTTTGTTTATCAGCATTCGCTTCTATCCAAAAAAACGCAATTCATAAACAGCGACAATGCCAGAGGTAGCCCGCACCGTGACACCCGCAGAAGACGAGCTGCGCGCGGCCATTGCAGCTGTGAAGGCATCGAACCCCGAGTTTGGCATCGCCCGCGTACTGAGCACGATCCGCTCCTCGCACAGCGACTGGCAGGTCAGCGAGAAGCGCGTGCGCAAGTTCCTGGGCGCGCTGGGGCTAGTGCAGAGCGACAATGCCGGGATCCCGAAGAGCTCATTGGCGCCGACGGATCTGGCGGCAACCACGGGCAAGGGCCAGGTGGAGATCCGGTACATCGACGGCACAAAGGGCAAGGGCGTGTTTGCAACGCAGGACATGCAGCCTGGGAGCATAGTATTTGAGGAGACGCCCTTTGCGTGGTACCCGCGCTGGGACACCGTCGGCGCCGCCTACCACCTGGACGCCGATCACGAGTGCCAGCTGTGCGCGCGCTCGCTGGACCCGACGGTAGTGCGCACGCGCGTGCGCCCGGCAAAATGTGCCTCGTGCGGGGTCAAATTCTGCAGCAGCATCTGCAAGACCGAGGCCGATATGCATTTCCACAAAATTGAGTGCTCCAAGAGCAACCCGGCGTTTGCCAAGCTGGCCGATTTCAGCCGCCGCCAGGACCAGTGGGGGGCGCCGATGGGCGCTGTGCGCGCGCTGGAGCGCGTCATCATGGAGTTTGAGCAAAGCACGAGGCGTGGCCGCGAGGCGTGGGCTGGTCTAAAGGCCTTTGCCACTGTGAGCCAGGAGACGATTGACGAGAGGCGGTTTGGCCCTGCTTGGTTCATGTACCAGGAGGACCGCGAGAACAAATGGAAGGCCAGCTACAAGCTGATGAAGAGCGCCTTGTGTCCGCCGCCTGCAGCCTGCGGGCTCACGGCGTTTGACAGGATCCCGGCCAAGATCAAAGAGGAGATGTTCTCGTACCAGGGATGGCTGGATCTGCTCGGAAAGTACTGCCTGAACGACCAGAATGGCGGCTTCTATCTGCTGCAGAGCTGCTTTAACCATAGCTGCGTGCCCAACTGCCAGGTCTCGCATCCAAACTCGGGAAAGTACCGCGCCCATATCGAGATTCTGAAGCCCATCAAGCAAGGCGAGGAGATGTTTATTACCTATGTCAACCCCAGAGACGGCGTCGAAGCGCGTCGCAAGGACCTGAAGGACTGGTACATGTTTGAGTGCAGCTGCACGAGGTGCCAGAAGGAGCTGCAGGATCTTCCAAAGACCGAACGCCAGGAAAATGTCATCACAATTTAGACAGGATATTTTTCTTGAATACACGGTAGGATCTCTACTTGTTGCACTCTTGGATCTTCTGACGGTCCTTGATGCCATAGACAGTTTTGATCCACCACTTCTCTCCCCATTTAGCATACCCGACATCACAGGCCATTCTGCCTAAATGAGCTGCAGCCGTTATAAGACGGCAACCCGGCATGAGATCTGATGCGCTTGTAATCGCTGGTCCATAGGCCAGGGCAGCGAGCACGGAGACTAGCATCACATGATCTCCATCAGTGCCATGGCCGTCGTTAAGGAGGGCATGCATATACCTATAGTACGCAACGGGTGGACAGAATATACCAAGGAATGAGGAAGGGAACCCGGACGAAGGCGCGCCAGCAGATGCTGCGCAAGACTTGCGCCAACACCTGAAGTGAGATACATGGCGGCTGCCTTAAGTGTGTCCATTGGCTGAGCTAACGGGGCAGCCAGATAGATGGGCATGGCGCTATCGACGAGGAGTTCACTAAAGCTCTTGTGGCTAAAGACGTTCGTAAAAGGGTGTACAAACGGCGGGAAGGAGGATCGTGCAAAGCGCCTTCCCAGGATTGGAATTGCTCGCGGGCACCGCCAAAGCGCAAAGAGGGCCACATTTACACCGATGACTGGCAGCACCAAACTATGTCCAGGCGACATTCCCAAAAGTGTTTCTGCAGAGATAAAAATCTCCTGCTTCACAGCATCAGCCATCCACCCTGGAAGGTTAGATACCCAGTAAATGAACCTGGTGTGCGTCGATGACTGTGTGGTGAACAACTTGCCAACTACCTTCTGCACCTTGAGGGAGCGCAGTAGCATGTCAATTTTCGCCTGCATCTCGGTGCTAGTTGTGCTGTCCTTCTGTTTTACCCCGATGAAAAGCAGCTAGCCGGGCTAGTGAACGTAGCTGCCTCGATATGGGCGCACGTATATAATGCGCCTGTGCCAAAAGCCAGTGCCCAAACAACCGGCTGAACGACAAGTGGTTTGTCGCGTTCGCCATGCCACTCATGGCCAGGTTTGAACTTCTACCCAACAGGCGTTTTGGAGCGCCAGTAGTTTGCAGTGTGGGAGAGTCAGGCAGGTGCAAAATTGCGGTGCATCGTTCACATGGTCTTGCGTTACATGGGGTTTACGTGAAAGTCGCAGCATGTTGGAAATGAAATGGTAGGCAAAGCCAAAGGGTGAATGACAGGGTAGAGCCAGCAATCCTTGGCAGTCTGGTCTTATATACCCCCCATGATGTCTATGACGGTAAGCGACACCTGAGATGCGATGTATGCAACTGGTGACAATCCGACTCAGATATTGGCGTCATTCATATTTGGCCAGGTCCGGCTGTGAGGTGATCGCAGCCCGTCCATATCAAAAGTGCCAAGTCTTTGCAGACAGTGTTGCCACAAGTACATCTAGGTGCTGTATTGAATCTTTTGAAGGGTCTACTTTAGGCGCCGAGCCTCAACCATCTTGACGAGTTCACGCCACCACTTCTCGCCCCACTGCACATAGGCCATGCCAAATGCACCACCGCCTAGATGCGCCCAGTGAGCAAATGTGCTCCATCCGAGGACAGCGCCTGCTAGGTCATAGGCCATCAGCAATGGGAACGCCTGGCTAATGGTGAATGGCAGGAACGGCAGGAATATGAGCGCAATCTGTGAGTTTGGAAAGTACATCATGGTCGCACCGACCACCGCATACACGGCTCCACTCGCCCCCAGCGCAGGGAGAATCGCCAGTGGCCGTAGCGGCGACAGCACGTGGTTTGCCAGACTAGAAATGACACCAGCCGACAGGTAGAATGCAGTGAACTGCTCGGCGCCCATCCGGTCAGCAACAGCCGACCCAAACGACATCAGCGCAATGGTGTTGAATGCGAAATGCCACACCTCACGGTGGCTGAACGTGCTGGTCAGCAGCGTGTATGCACGGCCCGTCCGCGGATCATGCAAAAAGTATTTGGTCATCTTGGGCATCAGCCGCGGTACCTGCCACATTGCAAACACAGCGGCATTGATGCCCGCGATTGCATACACAACCCGCTTGCCAGGCGACATGCGGTACCACGAGTCCGAGCATGCCACCATGGTGCGTTTCAGCTCGCGTGGCATCCACCCCGGCAGGTGCGCGATCCGGCGGATGGTCTTCGCGTGCGGCTCCGAATACACCCCGTGTGCACGGCCCACCAGCCGCTGCACCTCCAGGTCGTTCATCAGGGCCCAGATCCGGTCCTCCTCGTCGCCCACACTGCCTGTCCCGCCCAGCCCCAGCACATTGAGGTAGCTCCAGGAGCGCTGCCGCATCCGTTCTCGGTGGTCTGCAAACGAGTTGGCACATAAGTAGAAGGCACCGCCGCTGAAGGCCAGCGACCAGAGGATCGGCCGGATAAACAGAACCCGCCCACCACTGGGTCCGCTGGGCCGATATTGCCATGTTGGTTCGGGCTGGGCCTCGTTGCGTAGCGGCGATGCTGATGGGTGAGACCGCCAACGGCCAGCCCGGTATGCGCGGAAACCAGTCGGTCGTGGCCACTTTGGCACCACCCGCGGCACCACCCGAGGTATTGAGCTGCTCCAGCACCCGAGTCTGAGCATCGCTAAATAGTTGAATTGGTGCTGAATGTGTCGAAGAAAGTTAGACCAAAACAACGAGCACCACAGTCGCTGGCGATGACTAAATCCTGCCAAAACGCTTGGCGATAATACCTTGAGCTTGTCACGTGAATATGATCTTGCCGCTAATCCGATCATCGCTTGCTGCATTTTTCGTTTTTTTACAGCTACAAAAATAAAATAAAAAACTTTCATCGCATTGGCCGCTGCTCCTTGCAATTCTCCTCTTCACCAACCACTTTTCTATACCTGTATATCAAAACGCGGCCTCCACAGCTAGACATGGCTCCACGGAAGGGACGGAACGCAGCGGCCAAAGCTAAGGCTGCCAAGGGCGAGGCAACCTACACCATGGATCAGCTCCTGGCCAAGGCACAGGAACTGATGGACGACAACGAGCCCCAGACAGCATTGCAGTTTGCCGCGAAGGCGATTGAGATGGACGCAAACAACACACAGGCGCTGTTCCTGGCGGCGCTGATCCAGCTGGAAATGGGGTCTGTGGACCCGGCAATCAACTGCCTGCAAAAATGCGTGCAACTGTCGCCAGAGCGCGGCTTCGAGAAATACATGTACCTGGGCCAGTTCTCGGTCGAGCTCGAAGCCGTAAAGTACTTTGAGCTGGGTGTGCAGGCAATGCAGCGCGATCTGGCTGAGCTTCCGCAGGACTCGCTGCAGGCCGCTGAGCTGCGGCGTATGATGGCTGAGGCGTATGTGGCCATCACTGAAATCTTCCTGACCGACTGCTGTGACGAACCGGACGCTGAGCAAAAGTGCGAGCAGCTATTGCAGCTTGCAGTGGAGAGCGACCCAGAGTGCCCCGAGGTGTACCAGACGTTGGCGTCTGTGCGCATGAGCCAGGCGCGCCCCGACGATGCGCGCGAGTGCCTGAAAAAGGGCATGTCGCTGTGGATCAATAAGGATCCGAACGACCCGCAGATCCCGTCGTACGATAACCGGCTTGCGCTGGTGCGGCTTCTCTTGGAGGTTGACGAGAAGGAGGAGGCGCTGTCGTTGCTCGAGCGCCTGCAAAAGCAGGATGACGAGAATGTCGATCTGTGGTATCTGTATGGCTGGACGTATAAGCTGCAGGCGGAGGATACCAGCGAAGACGGGGACAAGGCGGATCTGCTGCGCTCGGCCCGCGCGTGTCTGAGGCGCGCGATCAAGCTGGCCCAGATGCAGGAGTACGAGGACGAGAGCCTGGTGGCTCACGCGCAGGAGCTGGTGACAGGCATCAATGAGCTGGTGCCGGATGACGGCAACGACGACGCCGAAGAGGAGGTTGCCGGCAATGAAGGCGAGTGGGAGGACGTGGCCAGCGACGACGACAATGCCATGGACACGATGTAATCGAGGAACAATGAGGTGCTGTTTAGTAGATAAATTGAGAACGTTGCAAACAAGCGAGGCGCACATGATCGCGACCCGATTCACGCTCGCGGCAGAGCTGCAACTTAAGCCGAACACCTCTTTCAGGCGCTGCCGAGAAGTGCCGATCTGCATGTCGCTGAGTGGATTTGAGAAGGAGCGCTTTTGGGGAGTGGCCAGTTCGATGACAAGATTTATCGAGTGAATCCCCTGTTGTACAGGAATTTACTAGTGCTGGTTGTTGTGTGTATTGCGGATCCACACACGCGGGAGAGTTGGAAAAACCGCTGCAGACTTTTCTTCCCCTTTTCTCTCTTCTTCGCATTTCAAAACACTCTTAATACCATTCCCTAGCTCCCCTCCCCTCTTTCCTCTCGACACCTTTTGGTACAGCAAACCGCTCTCCACCGCTCTCTAAAGGTAAGCCTCTATCCAGAAATCTGGCAAGCCCTTGTGTGGGAATAAAGTCGCTGCTGCCTCTTCCCAGAAAGGTGCACTACTGGCTTGGAGGACCGTAAACCGTGGGCTGCTATTGATAACAAACGGTCCGAGCGCTATCCGCTGCACCGACTGGACCCGGCTCTCTGGAGCTTTGGGTCAGTAAGCTTCCAGACGCCACAGATATCTAAAAATGGACCCAGCGGCCTTTTCTCTCCTTCTCTCCCACCCAATAACCACGCATAGATCGTATAATGAAGTTCATCATCGCCCTCACTCTTGCCACGGTCGCCTCGGCCGAGACCTGGAAAATCACGAGCCTTGACCAGGGCACCCGTACCAACCTGTGCGCACTTCAGATCCAGTCGTGCCAGAACGACTGTGGCGGCGCCGACCAGGCCCCCATGGCCTTCTGTAACGAGAAGACTCTCGCCTGGGGCTGCGGTTGCCTGGAGCGCACTCCCAACTTCTCCCTCTGGAACTGGCCCGTGCCGGTCGCCGACTGCAGGGGCTCCAGGGACGTCTGCCGCAACAACTGTAACGCGGCATCCTCGGGCGACCGCAACGAGTGCTTCACCAAATGTGAGGCCACCCACCAGTGCAGCACCGAAAACGCTCCGATTTCGTACACCAACTCGACTGACGTCGATACTGCGCCCATCTACGTCGGCCCAGCTGTCTCGTACAACGGCACCAAGCTGGGTGATCTGAACGATGGCAACAAGCGCCCGGACTCGGTCGAGGACTCGTCCTCTAAGTCGGAATCAGCCTCAGGCTCCAAGCCTAGCGCGTCGGCCTCGGGCTCCAAGAACAGCGCATCGGGCTCTGCTGGCGACGAGAAGGCTAGCTCGGCTGCCAAGTCCGAGTTGCCCAACGGTGCTGCATCCGTCAAGGCCTTCGGCTACGCCGGTGTGTCGCTGCTGGTTGCTGCTGGTGCCACCCTTCTCTAAATCCCTTCCCAAATAAACAACACTGCCATGACATCAAAAGAAAATAAACATTGGATTCTCTTGTTTTTGTGTAAAACCACCAACTACTTGCGACGGTTGTCTTTGTCGTCTGCGTCCCAAATTGACCGGTTATGATACAGCGAGCCGCCAAAGGATGTCGGGTGGGACATCTCGCGGTCAATCGGAATCCGGAACGGGTTGGTCAGTGCGTCCACCCCCTGATCGCTGCTCTGCTTTTGCTCGCGCTCGCGCTCGCGCTTGCGCACCGGCGCGCCGATTGGCTCAACCAGCGGCCGCCGTGGGTTGACAAGGCTGCCACCAAAAATCAGCGACTGTGTCTGCTCGGCAGCCGGCGTCGTACTGCGCAGCGAGAATGGGTCGGTGCTCTGCTGGCCAGC